GTTAATGCATCTATCTGGACAAGCTGTTCCTGATTGCCAAGGAAGGGAGTGAGGAGCACCATGCCATCTCAGCATGGGCATTGCAACCCCATGTGGAGCAATCTTAACCCCCCAGGCAGAGCATCCTGCTTGTGCCTAATTCTTCCCTGCGGTTGTTGTCTCTTCCACAGGTATAAGAGCATGGTGACACCCCGGCGGGCAGCGGTGGCCATTGCTTGTTGTTGGATCGTCTCCTTTCTGGTGGGACTCACCCCTATGTTTGGCTGGAACAACCTGAACAAGATGCGGAGGACTCAGGAGCTGAACGCCAGTCACACTGAGTTTGTCATCAAGTGCCAGTTTGAAACGGTCATCAGCATGGAGTACATGGTGTACTTCAACTTCTTCGTTTGGGTCCTGCCTCCCCTGTTGCTGATGCTGCTCATCTACCTGGAAGTCTTCAACCTTATCCGCAAGCAACTCAACAAGAAGGTCTCCTCCAGCTCCAACGACCCCCAGAAGTATTATGGGAAGGAGCTGAAGATTGCCAAGTCATTAGCACTGGTTCTCTTCCTCTTTGCACTCAGCTGGCTCCCTCTGCACGTCCTCAACTGCATCACCTTGTTCTGCCCATCCTGTGAGACACCACACATCCTCACCTACATCGCCATCTTCCTCACCCACGGCAACTCAGCCATGAACCCCATCGTCTACGCCTTCAGGATCAAGAAGTTCCGGACAGCTTTCCTGCAGATCTGGAACCAGTACTTCTGCTGCAAAACCAACAAAAACGCCAGCACCACCACAGCTGAGCTGGGCAACTAGGAGCTGGGAGAGAGCAGAGAGGGGTCCTCCATGCCCAGCCCGGTCCCCGGTTCCTGCTGCCAGGGGAAGGGCTGGTGAGGTCCGGGGAGGGCTGGATCCACTGGCCCTGTGCAATCTGAACAGCCGTGCCCCCCAGCACCCCCCGGGGGTTATTTATTCACAAGCATCGTACTGTTTTGATATTGTAGCCTGCACTGTTCCTTTCCTTTTTTTTTTTCTGTTTGTTTTTGGTTTTGTTTTGGTTTTGTTTTTTTTTAAGGGTTGCCAAGTATTTAAGGAGAAATTGTACAGGCAAAGGCGCAGTTTATCTTCATGCAAATAAAATAAAATGATAAAAACCACCCAGGAGGTCCTCTGCCATTGATGGAGACCTCTGGCTCCTTGGAGAGTGGCAGTGGGTGATGCCGGGGGCACCTCACGCTCTAGCCCCTGTGTCCCTGGATCTGCGGGGGTACCTGGGCACTGGGGCAGAGGGGTGCCCTGGTGGGAGTGAGGCTGCTGAGAACCAGGAGCCCAGGGTAACGTGAGTTCTCCAGCTCTGAAGCTGGGAGCTTTCAAGCCCGTTCTTTCCCCTTCATAAGCAGGGAGAGGTCAGCTGGGCTGGTACGCAGGAAAAGGCATCCATGGCAATGCCAGCACCCACAGGGTGATGAACCCACCATCCCCACGGAGCAAAGGGTCGGTCTCCAGCTCCCAACACTACCAAGGAGGGGAAAGGAAACCCCCAGCATACACGCTGCAAGAAGTACCCTTTGCTGCCCCGTGTCTCCCCATGGCCCCCAGCAGCACCCACCACCTCTGGAGCTGCACCCAGGGAGCTGAGTCCCCTCTATGTGTCTTTTCCCTCCTTTTACTCTGGCTTTGAGTCATTTTTCCCTGTTTTCTCCCACCTGTCTTCTGTGCAAGGCAGAGGCAAGTCTCTCACAGCCCGTTTGTCTCACGTCTCCACGTTGCTCCCTACCACCCTCCCCGTGCAGCCAAACCCAACCTTTGTGGGTTAATGCAGCCACCTCCATGGCCCAGGGGAGAAGAGAGGTGCCTGCAGCCATTTGGGGGTGAGTGGCAGATGCCTGCAGGCCACCACATTGGTGTTGATGTTGCCCAGGGGCATTTGTCCACCCCCCTGTGTCTGCCTCAGGTTTAGCCATGGACAGGGCGTACATGGTCACATTTGAGGATGAGATGGCTGGAGGTGGCCCATCACCCCCACCCAGCTCTGTGGTCACTGATGCTGGTAGCCCCACTGCCATTTCCAGCTCTGCAGCTGGATCTTCCAGGGCTGAAGTGGTGGTGGAAGGCGTTAAGCTGAATTGATTTGGATTCTTTTCTCAGCATCCTTTATTCACCAGTCTCCCATTGGAAACGCACTTCTTCTGACCCTCCCCCTGCCCCTGGGAGAGTCATGCCCCTCAGCCGGGCAAAGCAACCACAGCGAGTTCAAGGAGGGGGTGTGGAAAGAAAAAGGACCTTGGGTGGGTAAGATTTATGGGTGGCTCTTTAGCTGGCTGTGGGGAGCAATGCTGTGCACACGTAGCATGGGCAATGGGGCTGCTGGGCGTCCCCTTCTCTATTTCTCTTGAGGGGAAGAGTAGGGCAGCAAAGAAGGGTGGGAGGAAGAATGAGAGGAGATGAGGGGCTCAGCCTCCCACATTTTGCAAGGGCCTCAATATATCACATCCAGGATCCTGGCTCAGACTATACTGGGCAAAATGGGAGTGGAGCAGAAGAGCAAAGGCAGGGACTGGAGCAAACCCTTCCCTTGGACCTCATCACGATGGCGGGGCCTTGGACGCCCTCCCAGCCCCCTCTAGGTGAAGAACCCAAAATCCCATATCAGCAGTGCCCGAGGATGCTGCAAACCCAGGCTAGGGCAGAGAGGGCCCCCAATCCTGCCCGTGGTCCTTTTGCTCTGCAGGAGCTTGGCCCCGGGTTAGGGCTGCTCTTTACCGAGCACAGGTCTGATTCCCACTTGCATCTTATTTCTGCAAGAGGCTGCTTTCCTGGAACTGATGCCTTTGCCTGATCCTTGCTAAGGTGCCCAGAAACCTGACGACTGGGATGCTCATAAATTAAAAGGCACGTGGATGATTGCTTTCAAGAACAACATCTAGTGGATTTTTCCACTGCATGCTCTCCAGATCTTTCCCAGGGAGAGCTCACTAAAAGTGGTTGCTGTTACCCACCCTGGTCCCCTGTGGGGTTAAAAACACAGTCTTTGCCCTGTAGGACTGCCTTAAGAGTCTGGAAAGGGCACAGTATGCAGCATGACAGCCTTGGAGATGCTGCTTTTCCCCTGTGTTAGCAACCCCCCGGCTACCACAGCCTGCTCCCAGCCCCTGCCCCCCAAGGCTCCCACTGGCCAAAGCCACATGCGGAGATGCCAGGGACATCAAGGGGGCCAGGACATCCCCATCAATGCCCAAGGTGTGAGCATGCCTGAGGAAGACCCACTTTCAACCTGCCAGCTGGACTGCAACCTCCACCCCAGTGGCATCATCGCTAACCCCAGCAAACCAGCCTGACCATCAGCTGGGATAAAAATTAATCCGACAATGCCCTCTGATGGTGGAAGCGATGTCTGGTGTGGCCAGCGCTGTGCCGGTGCTGAGCCCCTGGGAACAGCAATAACCCCATGGACTTCAGCTTGGGCATGGAGAGTAGGCGGCTGGGGAGAAAGCGAGGGGCTGCAGGAGAGATGTGCAGAGAGGGGTCAGCTATTTTAGCCATAGGCACTGCCTGGCTTTGCTATCCAGTGGCACCAAGGGTGGGCTTAGACCTGCAGATGTCCAGGCTGGATTTGCACCCAGGATTGCCGGGCCAGGGCCTGCCGGGATGTGCCTTTCTCAGGGCAGGATCCAGGTCCAGCTCCATGACCGAGCTGGCATGCGGCTGGGAGAGCTCCTGCCCTTGCCCACGTGCCAGCCTCGTCGGCCCGAGAGGGAGCCTGTGCTGGGGGAGGAGGTGCCCGGCACCGCTGACCCCTGGCTAACGATGCACTTAGTCGACTTGATGGATCTGTCTGGGTTCTCTGTTAATAAACAGCATCTGACCCGAGCTGTCTCCCAGCTGGAAGTAACAAGTCATCTTCCCGCACAGGAGCTATCAGTAGCTAACGGGGCCAATTCCTCTGGATAATACATCGGCACGTCCTGCCCCCGCCACCTCATGCCGTGGGGAGGGGGTGCTGGCGGCAGCGCGTGGCTGGATCGTTGCATCATGGCGTGGATAAAGAAATTGTGCTTCGATGAAGAATCATCGACACGCCACAGTTTTCGTGTTGCTGATTTTTTTCCTCCTCAACCAGAATCATTCTCCAGCTCCAGAAGGAAACTTTTCCCCACCCTCCTCTTCCTCCTGGTTGGGTTGCTTCTGGTTTTTAGTCCTCTTCATATGTATTTTACAAAGCTGGTCCTTTCTTTCCAAGTTCAAAAACCGCCTCCACCCATGGTTCGGTGGGGTGCTATATGACCCCATTGCATCCCTGGCAGCTCTCTCCCCTCCGCTCCCTCCCATCCAAGCCAACCCCAACAAGCAGGACAGAGTGGTTTGGGGTTTTTTATTAGGACCAAAGCCCCTCAGATGGGCTTGTTTTATTGTCGCAGCTAAGGACGCACTCAGAGAAGACCAGGCAGGCTGAGGTGCAGCCCCCCCAGGGCACGGCCAGGGAGGGGGCAGGCCAGCAGGGGCCATGGCCAGGAGCATCGCCATGTGCCACGCCACCGCACAGCAGCCGCAGCATCCACCTGGGGTAAAGGAATGAGATCTGAGTCCTGTGAGGGCACCGCTGCCGAGAGACCAGTGGTCAGGGATGAGATGGGAAACCACATCCCAGCCATGGTCCCAGCCCATGCCAGGCAAACCCAGCCCAGTTCTTCCACCCTCTCCTGCCCCAAAAATTCAGGTGCAAGCCTTTAACTCTGCTTTTCCACCCTGCAGCCCCACTGCACACCCTTTGTACCTGCCCCCAGCCCCAGTAGTGACCCTCAGGTGCATCCAACCCCCCCAGGTCTCTGAACCCTGCCTGCAAACTGGGGCTCTGTCCGCCGTGCTGCCCGTGCCTCTGTCAGGCACACCAGCCTCCACATGCATCTTCATCTTCCTGGCCATATTTACCCTCCTCCACTTTGCAAAGGGGTAGGTTTCTCTCAAACTCTGCAGCATCCCACCCCACCAGTGCATCTCCAGCCATGGGATGAGGAAGACCGGAGCTGGGGCTCCATCAGCAGGTAACAAGAGCTAATCCAGGACACTCAACACACTCCATCCCCAGTGATGTGATCCACCCTCCCTCCATCCCGCAGCCCCAGCCCAGACCTACCTTGCTCTTTGTCTTGCTCCTCCAACCTGTCCTCACTGGGGCACTGCAAGAGAGCATGGGAGATATAAACCCCCTAAACTCCTGTCATCTTACTCCCCTTTTGACTTCCAAAAGTGAGCCAGGGCATAACCAACCCGCTCATCTGCGCACACCAACGTGCACCTACACACATCATCCCTGTGCACACATGCTCCGAGCAATCACGCACCCCACCATCGCTGCCTGCTCCTGGCCAGCTTGCCCCCAGGATCCCAGAATCCCAGAATGCCAAGGGTTGGAAGGGCTCTCCGGAGCTCACCCATCCCACCCCCCTGCTCAAGCAGGCTCACCCAGAGCAGGGGGCACAGGACAGCGGCCAGGCAGGGGTTGAATATCTCCAGAGAAGGAGACTCCACAGCCCCCCTGGGCAGCCTGGGCCAGGGCTCGGGCACCCTCAAAGTCAACAAGTTCTTCCTCCCGTTCAACTGGAACCTCTTGTGATGCAGTTTGTGCCCCTGGCCCCTTGTCCTGGTGCTGGGCACCACTGGGAAGAGTCTGGCTCTGTCCTGGTGACCCCCACCCTTGAGATATTTGTAGGTGTTGATGAGATCCCCTCTCAGCCTTCTCCAGGCTGAACAAGCCCAGCTCCCAGCCTGGGTGACTCCCTGGTGCTCTGTGTCCCCAGCACAACAACAAGCTCATCCTGCCGGCTGGTTTCACCGCGCTGCCCGCCTGGCTGCACTGACAGCCCTGCCCGTGGGGCAGCGTGGCCGGGGCCGGCTGGGGCAGGGCCCCCTGCCCCGGCGGGCAGGGAGCCCTGCCTGTGTGGGAAGTAGGGCAGAGCATGTCTCGGGGCAAGCATGTGCTGGGAAGCCACAGGAGGAGAAATAATAAAAATGACGTGTGTCTAAGGTGCATAGTGTGCAGCGTGTGGGCATGCGTCCTCCCGTGAGCTGAGGTGGGTCTGCAGCGCACAGAGGAGCAGGGAGCAACGTGGGGCACCCCCATGCAAGGGCTGGGCTGGGCGTTCTGCTGAGGCAGGGAAATGTGAGCTGGGAAGCCTGGGCAGGATCCCGAGACATAAATCAGAACGACCCAGGTGCAAGTGGAGGGGTTCAGCCCAGCCCCTGCACGCGTGGCTTGGGGCACACGTGCTGGTAGACGCAGTGGGGAGCAAGCAGCCGCCCCAGCCTCCACCAGCACTTCTGGTCCTTTGGCTTTGCAGTTTCTGGTCTCCTCCCCATTTTTTGGCCATGAATGAGGGAAGGCGATTTCAAGATGCTTCCAGACCATAAACCCAAGAAGCCCTAAGCCCCAGCTCCACAGGGCCACCCAGTGTCCTTAGGCTCCCCCATTACCAGGATCAACACAAAACAGGGACAAGCCACACCACTGTGAAAGCAAGAATAGGAGAAGGCAGGCCAGCAGACCTGCTCCTCTCTCTCAACCGATCTTACCTTTCACATCAAGTTTGCAGTCTACTGAGGCTTCCCCCAAGGCGTTCACAGCTTTGCAGGTGTAGATGCCCCCATCGAAAGGGTTGGGCTTGCGGATTTCCAGGGAGCAGACGCCCTGCTCGATCATCGCTATGTATTTGGGGTCTTCCCGTATCTCCATCTGATTTTTCATCCAGATGATTTTGGGCTGGAAGGCAGCAGGATTTATTTATTTGTTTAAAGCAGGGAGAGAAATGAGAAATCCAACTGGCCCCAAAATGCAGCCACCTCCCTCTGCCTTTGCCTTGTCCCTGCCTGAAGCTGGTGGCTATGATGGGATTCACAGGCAGAAGTAGTTCAAAGAGCTGAATCTCCCATTTTTGGGCCCTAACCACTGCTCCACATTTCCTCCCCCAGTGCAGAAGGAAACAGGACGTGGCTTGGGTTAAGACCAGTCCCCCATGTCCATGCAGAAACACCCAAAACTTACCCCAGTTTGACTAAGAGGGCAGCTGCAGCCCCCTAACCTCATCCAACCCCAACCCAACATACCAACAACCATTTCCCAACACCTCCAGCCACCTTGCAACCCACCCCCACCTCACACCCCCCCCCTCGATGGCTGCCCACAGGTGGTGATGATGCTGTCCATGGAGGAACGACTGACCTGGGGGAAGCCCCGGACGCAGCAGAAGAGATGTGTGCTGTAGCCCCGGGTGGTGGTTCGGTCTGTCAGGGGCTGGGTGAACTTTGGAGGCTCCATCATGTCCCGCTGGGGCATCTTCTCTGGCTGGTAAGCAGTTTCTAAGAAAATAATTAATTCTAGGTTGAGGCAGAGCTCGGGCTCCTGGGCTGACCAGCACATGGTCACAAGGATTCAGCCCAAAGTACCCCAAAATACTTCTGCTCCTTCACATAACAAGCCAGACAGCATCTAGCCTGGGACCTGGCCTCCAGCTCAGACCAGCCCTGTCTATAAATCCCTTCTCATCCAACCATGCCACATTAGTGCCCAGAGTCCCTGGACAAGGGAGATGCCAGTCTGCAACCCAACACCGCGGCACATGCTATGTGCAGCACGTCAGATCCAGGCTAGGAGCTTCTCTGGATCTCTTACTCCGTCCCCTACATTTGGTGCACAGAAATAGGAGCCGGGGGTAAGCTCTGCAGGTGGCTCAGACACCAATCACTGTGTGCTACCAGGGAGCAGGATGGGAAGAGACGGAGAGTGGTGCTGAGGGATGCTGGTTTGGGGATGGACCACTGTAGGGGTCTCTTCCTTTGCTGTCCCTGAGCTGCGGGGCCACAGCCAGGGCTGTTCCTCATCCCTCCCTGGGGACCAGCCCAGCAGCATCACCACAACACTGAGCAAGCCCCACTAGTCCCAACAGGGACAAGACCCACCACCACCCCCAACCCCTTAGACAGGGCCTTGTCCCCACTTGTCTTCTGAATGTGGGCCACCCTGGAGGTGACAGCCGCTTTCTCGCTCAGCCCGCAGGCGTTTTCCGCGAACACCCGGAAAGAGTAGGTGTTGCCAATGATGAGGTCAGAGATGGTGCAGCTGGTGCGGGTGCAGCGCTCCAGCGCCGTGAACCATTTCTAGGAGGAAAAAAAGAAAAACAAAGAATGGTGAGGAAAAGCAAGATGTCCAAAGGATGGAGGAGGTGTGGGGGAAACAGGGATGTGCGGCTTCCCCTCTCCCATAAGGGCATCCCCAGCACCAGGGCACAGGGGCCCAGGAGCACCCAGACTCACCCCACTCTTCTTGTCTGACTTCTGCACCATGTAGCCCTTGATCTCAGAGTTCCCGTTGTCCAATGGGGGGGTCCACTCCAGGGCCACATTAAAGCCCCACACATCCACCAGCTTCAGGTTCTGGGGGGGGCCCGGTGGCTCTGCAAATACAAACCCTCATGGGGTGGCATCCTAATTTTCTCCCCCCCACATTCTGTGTCTTGACCTTGCTTTTAATCTTTTCTCACCCTGTTGCAGCATGTGAGGGATGAAAAGCTGCAGTAGGCATGGGCTAGCATCCCTGCAGCCCCACAGCCCCAGCCAGAGGAGTTCACCCCCATGATCCTGGAGAAGATCCCACTGGAAGAGGGACCCCAGGGTCCCTTGCCTTGTTGCTGGCTCTCTCCCATCCCACCCAGAACAAGAGCTACCCCCAACCAAGGGGCAGAAATGAGCCCCAGAATGACCCTGCAGGGTCCCGAGCCTTACCAATCACTCGGATGTCCAGGGTAGCCTTGTCCTCTGCTCCATTTATCCGCACGGCGAGCTCGTACTTGCCCGAATCACTGCGTTGTGCCTCACGGATGTAGAAGATAGTGTCCTTATTCGTGTTGTGGATGTTGATGCGGCTGGTGTCCAAGGGCTGGTCACCCTTGGTCCAGATCACCTCGGGCTGGGGCTTTCCCTGGAGCAACCCGCACAGGCAGGTTAGGAGCCACTCAAACACATGGTCCCTGTGGGTCCTGCTGGGAAGGACGGGTGGGCAGAGCCACCCCGCTTTGTCCAGGCAGCAGTGCCCTGGGTAGAGCCTCTCCCATCCAGCAGTCCCCAGGGAAGAAACTACAACCAATCCCCACCAGCCCCACTGACGGGAAGCCACCACGCTCCAGGGATGATGCTGGAACATGCTGGTCCCCCAAAGTGTTTATGGAGCAAGTCCAGCTTTACTTGCCCAGGGCTTTGCAGGCAGAGCTGTGCTCCTGTTGCCTGGGCACCGGGCGGGTTAGGAGCCACTCAAACACATGGTCCCTGTGGGTCCTGCTGGGAAGGACGGGTGGGCAGAGCCACCCCGCTTTGTCCAGGCAGCAGTGCCCTGGGTACAGCCTCTCCCATCCGGCAGTCCCCAGGGAAGAAACTACAACCAATCCCCCCCAGCCCCACTGACGGGAAGCCACCACGCTCCAGGGATGATGCTGGAACATGCTGGTCCCCCAAAGTCTTTATGGAGCAAGTCCAGCTTTACTTGCCCAGGGCTTTGCAGGCAGAGCTGTGCTCCTGTTGCCTGGGCACTGAGCCCAGGTTCAAGCCTAGAAGCAGGGGCTTGAATTCAGCATCCAAGGCCAATTTATGTCTGGAGCATGGTCAGCGCAGGCTCCCAACCACCTATGAGACATGGCATGGACAAGTCCCTCATCTCAGGGGCAGCTTTCCGGCTCTCGCTTCCCCCTGCTTGGCCAGCTTGTTTCAGGGCTGATTTTCTCCATCGCAGACACCAAGGTGGAGATGTTTTGGTGACTTCCCAGACCGTGTGCGATAGATCAGTTAAAGAGAGGACCTCCAGCTTGGCCCACCAGTGTCAGCATCGCTCCCCCCATCACACGACCCTGGGGCTGCCCTGCTCCAAAAGCAGCTGCTGTCCCCAAGGGGACCCCCACCGTGGTGCTGTGTGGTCCTGTGGCTCGTGGGCTGAGACAGCAGCAATAGCTAGCCCATGACCTAGTGTGTTTGGGGTTGTCCCATTGCCAACACCATCAATAAAAATGTATCAGGAGGAGAACAGGAGCTAGGCAGGAATGGGAGAGGTGTTCCCACCCTTGCCCCATGAGACATGCGGACCAAGACAAGCCAGCCCACAGTTGGCTCCAGGCATGTCATGGTCACTGCAGAGGCTAACCTGCAGTTAAAAAGCTTGGGGGATTAAATCCCAAATCATCCACCCACCTGGAAAGGGATCATCATGTTCACGGCATCCCCAACACGCCTGACATAAGTCTGCCGCAGGTGACGGGGCATGCGGATCCTTGGGAGCTCTGGGGACCAGAAAGTCATGTTGTGGGGCCAAGGAAATCACAGCCCCCCAACTGGCTGATCCACCCTGCTTGGCCATTGAGAAATCCCACCCAGAAACAGGGCCACCTCTTCCCTCTCATCTCCTGGACAGCAGGGCCATGCCAGCCTGCCAAACAGGGCCACCTCTTCCCTCTCATCTCCTGGACAGCAGGGCCATGCCAGCCTACCCCATCGTCTGCACTCCAAAATTATATCCATCCTTGAGATACCAGGTCCCCAACCCAACAGCACTACCCCGATGGACCATTCGCCCCCTTCATTATAGCCAGGCTATGGAGACCAACATAGCCTTAAACAGAAGAGCCAGAGCGCAGCCTACGTGGTAGCAAGGCAGAGGACAGTGTCTCCCAGTTAGGAAATACTTCTCCCCCAGCTCCAAGAGCAGGCTTTCCAGAGGCACACAACCCAACTTCCAGCAAGCTCGCCAGACCTCCACCTTGGCTGTGCACTCAAGGCCGTCGAGAGACAGAGATGGTGCATGGTTACTCACAGCAGAGCTGTGAAAGCCCCAGGCTTAAACCGAAGGCCAACGTCCCCAAGGGAACATAACAAAGATAAGCAAAAAACCCACTGGAGAATGCTGATGGAGCGTGTGTCTCCTTCCCGGGGTGAAAATAGCAGCTGTGTAACCTTACCGGCTTGGTGCCGCCCGGTGATCCTTCTGGAGAGGCATTGGGTTTACGTGAGCCCCTCATAAAAAGAGCTGAGTGTCTCTGCCTGGATTAAACGTGCTGGAGCTTAGCTCTGGGGAGGGGGCACAGCCAGAATTAAACCGGGACTGAGCAATGGTTAAACAGCTGTGAGTGCGAAACGCCGGCGGTGGGCTGGGGAGGGCAGGGAGATGCCCAGCGGTCCCAGATGGCCCCACCGACAGCTGAGATGGTCTCTCCTCTGCTCACGCCGCTATTCCCTCCAGGGATCCATGTGCTCATGCTGCCACTTGGGCTCATCAGTCTCAGCGGGGCAGAGAAACCCGACCTCAACGGAGGAATGTTAATTCATGGGTGTTTTCCCCAGCTCACGCGTGCCCTGCTCTGCCGGCTGGCCGAGGTTGGTGGCCCAGGTGACACGCTGCTGCGGGTGGGAAGGCATTTCTCCCGCCCCGGCTCACTGCAAAACGCGACTCCCACACCTAATCTTCATCTGGTTTCTCCTCGTCTCTCTCCACTTCCCAAACCCACTCGTCCCACCTGTTTTTAAACTCTCTGCCGTCTGTATCGCTGCTATCTAAAATCCCTTGTGCTGCTATAAATGAACCCATGAGAGGTACAAAATGCAGTCCCAAACAAATGTGAAGACCAGAAGGTAGCAGATGGGGTGGAGAGGAGCGGATTCATGCATCCAAGTGGCTGGGGTGGACACGGGGAGGCAGAGGGACACGGAGGGCGGATTTGTTTCCCAGCAAAGCCAGGCAGCACGCACAGGGCTGGATTTAGAAGGAAATGCGAAAGTGCTGTCAGCTGACAGAGAGTTTCAGATAGCAAAAAGAAAAGGGGGAAGAAAAAATCCCCACAAGCGTGGAGCAAGAGTGAGCTGTGCATGGGTCTTTCAGCATTTGGGGTTTTACAGCTCTCAGCCGGTGCTTTGGGGATTTGAGAGGGTGGGGGCAGCACGGGACTAGAAGTGGGGAACATGAGCTGCCTATTTGGCATCTCACACCAGTCCCCATGCCTCAGTTTCCCCCGTCCCACAAGGTACGGTGGGACGCCTTTGAGAGCTGGAGGGGAACACAGCAAGCAGACACTAAGCCATGTTCACCTCCTCCAAGCAGACTGAGTGGACGGACCCTGCAGGACCCTTTCCAGATGCTGATAGCCCTCGCCAAGCCTTTTCCTATGAAAAGCTGGCAGTCCCTGCAATAATCTTCATTATTAATGCTCCTATTTTTAAGCAGCTGAAAAATCCAATGTGTTCTTTGAGTAATAGGAAAACTTGCGCATTAATAATTCCTTGTAAAGGGAAAATAAGTCTATATTTGCTGTTTGATAAATGAAAGCCGGCCTTGCGATCATACATCAGCCTCAGCACATTCACAGCACCCCGGGAGGAATGCGAGCCTTGCTAAGCATGGGAGCAAGCCATTCATTAGCGTGTTCAGCATGATTAAAGTTCCCATGCTCCAGACTACCAGTTCCTGACTTTCCTTAGCTAAATAAACAAAGCTGTCCGATATGTACGTGATGGCATAGTAGAGATGTAGGCATGGCCAAGGCAAGGGACGAGCCAAAAGCAAGCCCGTTCCTGAGCTCTTGCAATGCAACGGGAAAGTGCAGCTCTGCATTTTGAGTTCTTCACCCCCAAATCGTCACCATCTGCAAGATCAGTGCCTTGAGGTTGGGAAGGCGCTCTATCCCACCCCAAGGGAACTGGACACGGTTCCTCTCGGTCAAGGGCTGGATTGCGACATGTAAGGGGGGCAGAAGCTGCTCAGGCCGCAGGGATGGGCTGCGATTTCTTTGTCCTGCTCACAAAGCCCATGGGTGTTACGCACGGCAGGAGCGGTACCGCTGGCGCTGACAGCCTTCACCCGCACATGGATCTTGTCACCAGAGCCAAGGTCCTGGATTGTGTAGCGGGTAGAAAGAAAAGGCTCCTTGTTCACAGCTGTCCAGTCTGTACCTGCGATGAAGCCAGCAGAGCACTTCAGGCGTGCAATGGACAGACAGACACACACCCCAAAGAGCAGGATCAAGCCACCGGGGAGGGTGTGGGGGGGTGTGGAACCAGAAGTAAAGAACCCCTTCCTTGCAAAGGCTGAATGATTTGGGGCACCAGCAGAAGAAGGTATCTTAGAGGAGAGGTTGGCCATCCCACCCCACCATCAAGCATGGGGTATGAAATGCTGGCAGAAGCTCAGCTGCTGAGCAGGAGGCTATTTGCAAGCAAGAAAAGGCATCAGGCCAGCAAACATGGCCCTGCGCCTTCCAGGTGCATTTCTGGAAGTAGTTAAGATCCTTAGACCACCCTGCCAGCCAATCTGCTCCTCTTACTGCCCCAGGATAACTCATTGGGGCTCATCATGTTCCTCCGCACATCCTCTACATTGGACAAGGTCTACTCATCACCTGCCACCAGCCAGCTGGAGCTCCCCAACTGTTCTTCCTGCTCGGATGGGGCATCTCAACCTCACCCCCCAGCCAAGATGTAGAAGCCCTCCCACATCAGCCAGCTGGCACAGCTTTTCATTGTGCCAAACCTCTTAAGAGGTTTCTCAGTTAGTAAACAGGCTGCCCCGGTCACCAAAGGACTGGGTGTCCCAGGTGGGCAGCTAGAGCAACCCACGTGTGCCAGGGTTTGCTAAGCCACCATGTGCACCTTCAAACCAAGATGGTTGTCCCATCAGT